GACCCGCTCTTTTTCAAGACTCAAGTTTGAAAAAACTTTGAACACCAAATTAAATTTTATACAGAAAATCATGACAGTACATCTGAAACAAATGATTCTAACAATATATTTGAGAGAAAAAGCATGTTATTTTGCCTTAATATCTTAATATCTGAACATTTAAATATGTAAACTAAAGTGCAATCACATTTGTAAATGAATGGCTTCTGGTTTTTGAAATGTAAATGTAAAAGTAAATCATAACTTCTCCTCAGCTGCCGGTTAACCTGGCCGATCTTCGACCCACTTTTCTCCAGATTGTCGCTACGTTTCTCCATTTTCTGTTATCTCTTCTATTATTTTCTTCTCTTTTCTTTCTTACCACTATTTTTTATTTTTCTTCTTCTTGCTACCACTATTTTTATTTTTATTCTTCGTGACAGGCGTTCGCTTTGGCCTGGGGAGTCAAGTTCAGCATTCGCTTCAACGATCTCTGGCGCCATCTTGCGTCGTGAATGGGTATAATGTCTAGACCCCGAATATAAGACGACCCCCACTTTTTCGGTCTTATTTCAATGCAAAAAACACCGTCTTATATTCGGGCCAATACGGTATTCTTCTTTTTAGGCTTCACAGGCAGCAAGCCCTCTACTCCCCGGAGCAGTTCCTCCCACGCATGGATGGCGTGCCGCTGGAGTACGACAAGTTGACGCTGGACCTCTTCATGCTGGGCTATTTCCACATCCTGGAGTTGGACCTGCCGGTGGACGAGCGCAAGATGAGGCACCTGCTGTGCTTCGAGGTCTTCGACCACGTCGGCAGCTTCCCCTGGGAGCTGGTGCGCGACTTCCACAAAGCCGTCCTCCAGGACATTGCGGCCGGCGACCGCGAATGGAAGGACGGCTTCGAGGACCTGAAGCTCAAGTTTTTCGGCGGGGCGACAGCCGGGCGTGAGCGGGTCACTGCCGAGGCAGAGGCGGAGACAGAGGCCGAGACACATCAGCTTCCAGAGATTCGGCCGCTCCCCAAAGTCATCGTGCAGACACCCACGCCGGATGAGGGCTCGCTCTATGTCGGGACCGACATCTCCTGTTTCAGCAATGAGGAAATATGCCAATACATCGACCGCAGCTTTGCCTTTTGGAAGGAAAAGGAGGCGGAAATTTTTGATTTTGAATAGTTGCTCCGGTTTTCATCAGTGATGCAATGCATTTTATCTCGAACGGTTTCTTTTTTGGAGCGCTCATTCTCTCTGAGCACTCCTCTCCCTAACGCGTTCAAACTCATTTAATTTGGAATTGCTTACAGATGCCACCAGATAGCGCCAAATTCATTTCTTTTACATTAAATATGGCTTTGCCCTCAAGGATCAATGAGTTGGCAAACATGCAAATGCCCGGCCACAAATACACTGGGGCTGATCGTAATACCTTTTAGAACACATGTGTCAAAGTCAAGGCCCGGGGGCCAGATCTGGCCCGCCACATCATTTTATGCGGCCCGCAAGAGCAAATCAAGCATGTCAAGTTCCATGATGCTTGCTAAAGTCTGAACCAAAATTTCAAATTGTCATATGTAATCCGCAATAACAGTCATTTGTCTTGACTTCTGATTTTAAAACTAGTTACTCATCAATTTGTTGTGCGCTGTGTATGTAATATGTGGAGGTGATCAAACATTTAGATGGTTTCCCAAAATTCATAATGGCCCTCCAAGGGAAACCATAACGACAATGTGGCCCGCGACAATAATGAGTTTGACACCACTGTTTTAAAAGGTTTTAGATGTCTATATTGCAACATAAACTCTTGCTAATGAGCCCGACCTAGAAGCTACTGTGCTCATACTGAATTTAGCAGTTTGTTTTTCATGGTGAGAGGCAATAAATGATCAAATGTGCACATGAGCAAAGCCGGGCCATCGCTTGTCTTTTAGGTCATTTGAGCTTGCCCTGCAATGTGTCCGCGTGTGTGTATTGGTGTGTGTGACAGCAGCTGCACGTTGTTTGGAATCTGACTTCAGCCCTTGGCGTCACTTGTCAGTCTCAGCCCAAAATAACCCAAAGGCAGCACGACGCGAGGCTGCCAGCGTCCCGGTGACTGGACACAACGTTCACCTTCTCTCATGCTGATTTGCAAACAAAAAGCGCTATCGTAGGATGAGTCGCCCCGGTGAGTCTGATTACATTTTATGACGAGGAAACTTGCTTTTTCACGCACATTGAGGCCTTAGTTTTAGTTTTCTTTGGTGTTGTTGACATAACCACGTGGAGCCGTATATCGGGGAGCTACAAGTTTGGAGGAGTTATATATATTTCAAGTGGGTTCATTTGAAATATTTAAGGTAAACCCCGATCGTGAGGATACTTTTGAGACCCATAAAATACCATGAAAGTTATTTTTAGTAAGTATTTTGCATGTTCTCACTCGTGTTGATAAGAAATAGGAGACATCACTTTGAGGCAAGCATGTCAAGTTCCATGATGCTTGCTAAAGTCTGAACCAAAATTTCAAATTGTCATATGTAATCCGCAATAACAGTCATTTGTCTTGACTTCTGATTTTAAAACTAGTTACTCATCAATTTGTTGTGCGCTGTGTATGTAATATGTGGAGGTGATCAAACATTTAGATGGTTTCCCAAAATTCATAATGGCCCTCCAAGGGAAACCATAACGACAATGTGGCCCGCGACAATAATGAGTTTGACACCACTGTTTTAAAAGGTTTTAGATGTCTATATTGCAACATAAACTCTTGCTAATGAGCCCGACCTAGAAGCTACTGTGCTCATACTGAATTTAGCAGTTTGTTTTTCATGGTGAGAGGCAATAAATGATCAAATGTGCACATGAGCAAAGCCGGGCCATCGCTTGTCTTTTAGGTCATTTGAGCTTGCCCTGCAATGTGTCCGCGTGTGTGGATTGGTGTGTGTGACAGCAGCTGCACGTTGTTTGGAATCTGACTTCAGCCCTTGGCGTCACTTGTCAGTCTCAGCCCAAAATAACCCAAAGGCAGCACGACGCGAGGCTGCCAGCGTCCCGGTGACTGGACACAACGTTCACCTTCTCTCATGCTGATTTGCAAACAAAAAGCGCTATCGTAGGATGAGTCGCCCCGGTGAGTCTGATTACATTTTATGACGAGGAAACTTGCTTTTTCACGCACATTGAGGCCTTAGTTTTAGTTTTCTTTGGTGTTGTTGACATAACCACGTGGAGCCGTATGTCGGGGAGATACAAGTTTGGAGTAGTTCCTCAAGTGGGTTCATTTGAAATATTTATGGTAAATCCCGATCGTGAGGATACTTTTGAGATCTATAAAATACCATGAAAGTTATTTTTAATAAGTATTTTGCATGTTCTCACTCGTGTTGATAAGAAATAGGAGACATCACTTTGAGGAAACTGACAGAAGACTGTAGCTTGCACAATACTATAAAATTGGCAAAAGCCTGCTTGCTACAAGTTGTTTTTCGCTCCCAGTTGAAGCTTACCGTAACCATGAGAACCAAACCAAGTGTATTAAAACCCCAAAATGTTCAACCAAACCATATAATTTAAGATAAGATAATATAAGATAACTTTTATTTGTCCCACACTAATAATAATTTAAGAACAACACTCTGCTAGCTTAATGCTAACATAATGCAACATGCCATCGAGAGCTAACGCAAATTAGCATAGATGCTACGTTAATTGTAACCTTTCTAACATAATGGTTTACTTTGCCTTTCAGGTGAATGACTTGGTTCGGCCGTGAGTTCCCTCTTCTTCTTGATTTATTTCCTCGCCGTTGAGAATGGTGCGCAACGTGGACGACCTTGACTTCTGCCTGCCGTCGCACCCGCAGACCATACTGGAGGGCCTTCGCACTCTGTGCTCTCAGCCCAAGATGGTGGACGTGACGCTGAGCGCCGGGGGCCGTGACTTCCCGTGCCACCGCGGGGTCCTGGCCCTCTGCAGCGCCTACTTCGGAAGCATGTTCTCGGGTGACTTCGTCGAGAGCATCGCGGCCCGTGTGGAGCTCCAAGAAGTCGACCCGGATATACTGGGCTGTCTGCTGGACTTCGCCTACACGGGCAAGCTGACCATCAACCAGAGCAACGTGGAGGGTCTGATCCGCACTTCCAGCCGACTGCAGTTCCAGACGGTCCGCGCTGTGTGCACGCGCTACCTCCAGCATCAGATCGACGCTACCAATTGCCTGGGCATCCTGGAGTTCGGCGAGATCCACGGTTGCCCTGAGGTGGTGGCCAAGGCGCGGGCCTTCCTCTTAGAGAACTTTGAGGCCATCCAGATGAGCGAGGAGTTCTTACTCCAGGAGAAAGACCGCCTGGTCTCCTGCCTGAGCCACGACGGCCTGCAGATCCGATGCGAGCGTACCCGCGTGGAGGCCGTGCTCAGGTGGGTCGGGCACTGGAAGGAGCCACGTTTGGCCCATATGCCGGAGCTTCTGGGCCGGTGCAGACTGGAGCTGCTCGATCGGGATTACCTGAGGGGGACGCTGATGCAGGACCCTCTGGTGCAATCCTCGGACGGCTGCAGGGAGGCGTTGGAGAAGGTCCACATGGAGGTTCGGACAATTTAACCCTTTCATGCACCCTGTAACCTGATAACACGATAAGCTGTCCACTGTCGTAACCGCTGTCCCTGAAAGGGTTAAATCAGGGGTGTCAAACTCATTTTTTTCACTGGTCACATTACAATTACCGTTTCCCTTGAAGGTCCGTGATGACTGAAACTGTATAAAGAAGTCAAAAATAACGTTTTATTCATTTATTGTTCAAGTAACTGTCGCGTGGAGGCCGTGCTCAGGTGGGTCGGGCACTGGAAGGAGCCACGTTTGGCCCATATGCCGGAGCTTCTGGGCCGGTGCAGACTGGAGCTGCTCGATCGGGATTACCTGAGGGGGACGCTGATGCAGGACCCTCTGGTGCAATCCTCGGACGGCTGCAGGGAGGCGTTGGAGAAGGTCCACATGGAGGTTCGGACAATTTAACCCTTTCATGCACCCTGTAACCTGATAACACGATAAGCTGTCCACTGTCGTAACCGCTGTCCCTGAAAGGGTTAAATCAGGGGTGTCAAACTCATTTTTTTCACTGGTCACATTACAATTACCGTTTCCCTTGAAGGTCCGTGATGACTGAAACTGTATAAAGAAGTCAAAAATAACGTTTTATTCATTTATTGTTCAAGTAACTGTAATGAGGGGTTTGCTAACAAGAAAATGCTTACAATACTTCACTGATTCATTACATATGAAAATTTGAAATTTTGGTGCATATTTTAGCAGGCATCGTGGAAGTTATCATCTTTGATTTGCTTATGCGGCCGACTTAAAATGATGTGGCGGGCCACATCTGGCCCCCGGGCCTTGAGTTTGACACGTGTGTGTTAAGTTAAATCAGGGGTGTCAAACTTATTTTTGTCGCGGGCCACATTACAATTACCGTTTCCCTTGAAGGGCCGTGATGACTGAAACTATGTAAAGAAGTCAAAAATAACATTTTATTCATTTATTCTTCAAGTAACTGTAATGAGGGTTTTGGTAACAAGAAAATGCTTACAATACGTCACTGATTCATTACATATGAAAATTTGAAATTTTAGCAGGCATCGTGGAAGTTGTCATCTTTGATTTGCTTATGCGGGCGACTCCTGGATGACGACTCCGACGACGATTCGGACGACGAGGATGGCGAGCGAGCGAGAGCGAGAGAGCGCAGAGCTCAGCCCAGGAACTGCGCCTTTTACAACACCAAGACAAGTACGAGCACTCCTTAAGGACTCAAATAAATCCCTCGTCTCAATTTGAGGCTGTTTACCGTTTTTTTCTGGTGACTTTCAAAGCTACTTTGTGTGTCCCTGTACTATAGTCCAAACTCCAAATGTTTTTTTTTTTTTTTTTAAATTTCACTTCCTGAGACATTTGTCCATGTATGCTCTGTTTATGCGTTTTAAGAATGGCTTTCCATCTTTTAAGGCTACTTTCTGTCACTTGTGGCGACTTTCGATAAATTTGAGGCTACTTTCCCTCCTTTGCGGCTCTACGTCCCAATACTTTAGCCCAAATTCCCATTTTTTTTCCCCTTTTAACTTCCTGGCCCTTTCCCAAATCTTTTGCTGAAACTCAATATATTTTGTCTCCCAAATTAATTTGCCCACGTTTGTTGTCTTTCCAGAACAGTGGCATGAGCTCCCGAATTTCCCCAACCCCAACAAATGGGGCTTTTCTATGGTGTCGCTGAATAATGACGTCTACGTCACA